TGTTCCTGTGGTAGAGAAGGACTTGTACATTTCACTGCTCACCTACAGTTTAAATAATAATATTTATTTTATTAATAAAATAACATTTATTTTATTAAGTAAAATAAAAATGTATTTTATTTATTAATAAAATAAATTAATAATATTTATTTAAATAAATATTATTTAAATAAATTAATATTAATTTAAAATAAATTTAAATAAATTAATAATATATTATAAATTAATATTTATTTTATTAATAATATAAATCTTTATTTATATTTAATAATAGTTTAGATTATTAAATATAAATAAATCTCCATTATATTTAGAGCTATAATGGCAGTTATATCGGTGCCACTTGATTGGTTCTGACTGATGGGCTGGAAACATAACAGACATTTGCCATTTGATCCGGGAATTAAGAGTAAGGCGAGTCCTTCACACTCTCTCTCCCTCTAAGGTAGTGACTAAGGCAGAGGCCACGTATTGGAATGGAGAGTCACAGGAGGGAGGCAGCCTGGACCTGCCAGCTGTTGCTTGGAGGATGGCGGTGTTGAGTGTCGCACAGCCAGCATCAAGCTTTCAGTGAACGAGAGGTAAACCTTGTGTGTGTCATGTCATGTCGACTTGAGGATTTATTTATCACCATAGTAGAGTCCCTCAGTAAAGGTTGCAAATTTCCTATTCAGTTTATGTCTACATGTTGACATCTTGGTTGATCCTGCGACAGGGGAACTCACAGTTTGGCTTACCATATTATTACTTCCCAGCGATGGCTGAGGAAGGGAATAGATAGGGTAGGAACTACTCGGCTGCGCCTCGCAGCTTCTATTTCTGGCTGTGGTTCCAGCTCACGCTCAGCCAGGGCTCAGGGCAGGGCTCCAAGGCAGTGCTTCCCCACTGGAACCCACTTCCTCAGTTGGGAGCCAGCTTCGCAGCTGCCCTGCGTTCCTTCGCCTGGGAACTCCTTCCAAGCCTGAGTGTGACTGAACACTTCAAGCGGCCCCTGTGTCTGTACCTGAGACGTTCCCTCCAGGCTCTGTTTGTCCTGGCGCCCGGCCCTTCTCGCTCCAGGTTTGAGGAGGGAAGTATTGATTGAATTTTGCTGACTTACTGGCCCCTCTCTTCCTCCCTGAAAGAGTCTCATCCTTTATACGCCAGGAATCCTGGATGGATGGGTCCTTTTCTCAATCTGGCCTTGCCTAAACTCTAATTTGCAGAAATGTTTAGGAATTACAGCCAAATGGGTGCTACCCCCGGTTTCAAATGCAGGCGTTCTTCTCAGAGAGAACTTGAGACGGGGAATTAATGACATGTGCAAACATCCTTCTAAACGAGCGGTCCTTTCACGGATGTTTTCAGGAGAACTTGGAAAAGACTGAATGGAAACCCAGATGTCGGTGGAGGGAACAAGCTATCTTCTCTCTCCCCTCCTCCAATCTCCGCATGTGGCAGGGAGTAGCAATGCAGAGATTTATTTTCCCACTGAAACCTTCCCCAGAAAATGGAAATGATTACAGTCAGTTTCAAATAATATTTTTCCCTCGGTTGCATAAATCACGAATGCTAGCCAGTCACTTTCAGTTGATGCGTCCTTGTGTCTCTGGCAGTTCCTGGTTGCCAAATACCCATTCACGGATGAGATCTTATCTATGGAAAAAGTTTTTTGCTATTCTGGGGTGAAATATATTAAACATGAATGTGTTTTTTTTAACTAAACTATTCCATTTAAACAGCTATCAGATTATGTCCTTTTAATATTTTTGGCATAAACATTATCTTTTCTGAAGTGATTATATGTACACTACAGATGGTAGGGTGATTTGTTTTAAATCCCTTTATAAAGTTAAAAGTTGGCACTCCTCTATTGGTTTCGAAATTATTCTTGAACTTTTTTTCTGGTCTATATAATCCTAAACCCAATGAACCACTGGAATGTATCTTCAAATAGATTTTCAACAAGTGGAATATTTTCTGAGCCCTTATGTTTCTGAGGATGCCTGCCTGGCCCACTGAAAGACAAATTGCTGGGTATAAAGTTCTTAGCTCATAACTTTCCCCCTCAAAACCCTGTGGAGTCATTTGGCATCTAACTGTTGAAGTGGAAATGTCTGAGACCAACCCAAAGTTTTGAGCTCTTTGTAAATAAGTTTCTAATGGGTTGTTTCAAGATTTTTGTTTTACGTGTTATACCTTCCCCTTTCTCAAGGCATTGCAATGCAATTTCCCCAAGTGCGGCCCACTGAGATAGGATGTGTAGTGGCTGGTGGCCGAGGGGCCAGATTCTGGCATCACCTAACTTCAAATCTAACTCCACACTTTACTAGCCATTGTATCCTTGGATAGTGTTATGGGATGATTTTTCCCCTTTCCCTCCCCCCAAGAAAAAGAAAAGATATGTAGACATTCTTACCCCAGTACCTGTGAATGTGACCTTAGTTAGAAATAGTATCTTCAAAGATGTAATCAAATTAAGATGAGGCCATTAGGGTGGTCCCTAACCCAATAGAACTGATGTGCTTATGACATGGAAATGTGGACACAGACACACACACGCAGGATTTTGCTGAAGACAGAGACCAGCAGAAAGCCATGTGAAGACAGAGACAGAGTTAGAGCTTGCTGCCACAAGTCCAGGAGGCTATAGGAAGCAGGAAGAAGCAAGGAAGATTCCCCCCCCCCCCCCCCCCCCGCAGGCATCTTCAAACTACGGCCCACGGGCCACATGCGGCCCGCAGAGGAGTCTGATCCGGCCCGCCAGGTTTTTTGGGCAGTGAGCGCAGCCGAGGTGTTACAGTAGGAATTAGTAGTAGGAATTAGTAGTTCATATAGTCTGGCCCTCCAGCTCTCTGAGGGACCGTGATCTGGCCCCCACTTTAAAAAGTTTGAGGACCCCTACCCTAGAGGTTTCTGGGGAGCATGGTGCTGGGAGGCAATCCACATTTGTTGTTTTAAGCCACTTGGTTTATGGTTTTAGCTATGGCAGCCCTAGGAAACTAATACAGTTGTATCAAAGACCTTGAGCTTCAATTACTTTACTTAAAAGAATATGAAGGATGTGTTAATTATAAGGTTGAAAGGTTAAATGTGATTAAATGAGATGATCTGTACATTCTGGCAGGTAGGGAACATCTAATAAAGAGAATGGTTGTTATCAATATTGTCTCTACCACCATCACCTCCCTTGAGTAGCTTCTCTCCTGGAAATGCTTTCTTTCTTTTTCTGAACTCTTGGCATTTTTATGCAAAGCTTATGTACTTTTTATAAAATAATATTGTTTCTTAACTATATTCCAGGCCCACCCCCAAATACTTTGATTCAGTATCTTGGGTAGGCCTCTGGAATGAGTATTATGTGAAGGTGTTCAGAAATGAACTCTCATTAAGTATTGAAAGCACAACATAATTTAAGTCATAAACCTGTTCTATTACATTGATATTGGTATTCCTGTTCTACAAATATGAAAACTGAGATAAAAGGTAATTGAACCCAAGTCAGAAAAGCTAAAATCAAGTAATTTTTTGAGGCCCAACTTCAATAACTTTACTAGTTTGATGAAATGCGAAACTCTAGACTCGTATGAAAAAATGCCAGATAATGAGGACTCTATAATATATAAAATATGGGAGACAGTCCAGTGTTAGGATTGAGAACACATGCTCTGAAATCAGACAGGATTACATTCTAGCTGGAACACTCACTTTCTACCGATGCAAAGATTATTTAACCTTTTAAGGCCTCGAATTCTTCATCATCTGAAAATGGAAATAGCTTGCCTCAGGGTTGTTGTGAGAAGTGAATAAGATGCCACGATAAAGCATTTCCTACACTGTAGGTGCTAAACAAATGGCATATTTGCAAATATGCAGTGGCATTTATAAAAAAGAAATCAATATCTTCACTTTCTACTATTGTCTTAAAGATACAAATGAAGAGAGCAAGAACAGCCACAGATGAGAGCTAGTCCCCAATGTGAAAAAAGGTGTGATGCCCACTCTTTCCCAGGAGCTTATGGTTTGGACAGTAACTTTTCTGGAATTCTCTTATTAACTTGCCTTTAGTAAGTCTTCTTGTATTTTGGAATTCTCTATTTCGATAATATTGATGGGTCATTTACCAGAATACGTAAGACCCGTTTTTAAGAGTTCTTAGGAGCTAAATATAAATTGTGTATTTAAGGGTATTTATGGGTTACGATTTCCTTCACTGTATTCTTCACTAGGCTCTAAGATGCTGAGGAGGGAACCAGGAAAGGGATGTGGGAAAGTGGGGGGGCATTTTGACATCATCAAGGGAGTTGGGCACAGTGAAGAACAAAGGAACAAGACAGGAAACGTATCTGCACAAAATTCTTCTTTTACTTCTGTGTTATTTAAACCACTGTGTACCCTATTGTATTGGAAGCAGGCACCATATTCAAATTTTCTTTACTTTTGTGACAGGACATGCTCCCTAGCTATCTGACTAGACTGCAATTGTGTCTCCATGTTCTCTACCTTCAGTGAGCTCAAGACCAGATGTGTGTGTGTGGGGGGGGGGGGGGGGGGCTGTTTCTCTGTTTTCCAAGAGCCGCATGGAAAACGACAGGTTCCTGAGTGGAGGAGCTGGGGATTAAGAAATTAAAGAAAAAAAAGAAACCAAGAGGCAGAAATAGATTCAAGCTGGGATCTGGGTGGGGGCTGCCACTCTGATGGAGAGACAGTCAACCACCCACCACAGACAACACAGTGCATTTACTGATTTCCAGAGGAGGGTTTAAGGTCAAAGGAGTTTTGGGTGTGCCCAGGTCCTATCCATTCCCTCATTCCTGGGATTTAGCATATCCAGACCTGGGTAAGTCAAGGTCCTATTCGTTCTTCATTCCAAGCACTTGCATAAAGATAAGAAATCCGAACTGATAGGGTCTCTGATATTTTGGGAGGTTGTTCCCGGGGGATGGCCTTGCCTGTCACCTCGGACTCAGTTGACATTAATTTTAGGGTCATCCATGTGCATTCCCAAAGGGCCCCCTACAGCCAGGTTGCTCAGCAATCCTGTCCCAGAGGGATGCGTGGCCAGGAAGCAGTGAACAGGAAACTATACGGCAGCCTGAGCATAACTATACGCTTGGAGCAGTAAGCCTGCAGGTGCATGTCCAGTACCTGGGCAGTGGCTCGGCCATTTCATCAGGACCGGCTCTGATTCCCATGGTGCCATCTCAGCGTGCTTGCTGTCCTCATGCTTGTCATGTCAGAGTTCAAGGTGGCTGCCTCGGTGTCCAAAATTACACTCCTAGCCCTGCTTCCTGAGGATAAAAGGCAAAGCATGCCCGCTGTTCAAGCAGTAAATGAATTACCCCCAAAAGCCTTGCCAGCAGGTTTCTCCTCCTAGCTCTCCTGGCAAAATTGAGTAATGTGGCCACCCCAAGCTGTAAAAGCACTCTGGGGGAGAATCAGGCACATGTGAACCAGATTCCTCTGATGAAGAGCCATGCTTCAGCTCCTGGCTGGGCTTGGCCGACTTCAGCATCCCTGGACTGCACTTCTCCCTTTTGGTAGCCCACGCCATGGACAGAAGCGAGCCCTGGGATGGAAACCTAGTGGCAGGTTACAGCTGAGGTGCAATGTATCATTGGAGTGATCTTGGACTAGGATCCTAACCTGTTGTTAGTGGTCACCTTAGAATTGTTACGAGGTCCCAGGCACCGATTTAAGCTACTCAAGCTTAAGAGGAGGCTGATTTGTAAGCTTGAATCTGTACACTTGGCGAAACATCCATTCAAATAAGAACCAGGAGTTACCTGCTCTGGCTCCAAAGCCACCCATCTATTGCATCCAGTGGTGCTGAAGCCTCCGGTCTGCAGACCACACTCCTGAAAGCTCAGTTTGGCTCTGCAGGTGAGGGGCAGCCATGGTGCCAGACTGGGACATGGAGTAGGAGCTTCCTCCTCCCGCCTGCTTCCTGTCTGCTTGCAGTGCCTGCACAGCTCAGCCCAATGCTTCTTCACTCCAGTAGCTGTAGCTGAGCCCAGGGGACGGTTTTTCTAAAACACAGAGAACCAGCTTGGCCAGGTCTCCCTCAAAGACCACAGCACCAGCGGCACATGCCCCTGCTCCTCTGTCTCAACTGTAATACTCCTGACTTCGTTTTCAGTCACCCAGCTGTAGAAGTGGTAGCTGCTTCCTGTAGTTGTACATCTGTGGCACCAGTTTTCCTTTAACCCAATTACTTAGCTAAAAACTTTATATGTGCTAATCTTTATGTTAAATTCTGTTCAAAAAACTAAATAAATTCTCTGTTCAGGTAATTGGTGTGATTTCTGTCTTCTGATTGGACTTGATTCAGTAGTATTGTCATGCAGACAGCCAGCCAAAGGCACAGTCCTTCTGAAATAAACACTCTATGCTTCCTTACCCCTAAACTACTTAGTGTACCAGAGGATACTTTTGCCACGCCCCTAAAGGATTAGAAGGGCAGATCCCCTCTGACTAGGAGCCTGAGTATCACGTTTTCCCAGGGCCCCCTTTCAAAGCAGAGGACCTCTCTCAAGCAAGAAGCATACCCAGGCCTAACTTATCACCACCCACTCCCAAAATCATGGTACCAGGGGAAGAACCATTAAAAGTTGTGGGTGGACCGAAACCGGTTTGGCTCAGTGGATAGAGCGTCGGCCTGCGGATTGAAGGGTCCCGGGTTCGATTCCGGTCAAGGGCATGTACCTTGGTTGCGGGCACAACCCCAGTAGGGGGTGTGCAAGAGGCAGCTGATTATTCTCTCTCATCGATGTTTCTAACTATCTATCCCTCTCTCTTCCTCTCTGTAAAAAATCAATAAAATATATATAAAAATAAATAAATAAATAAATAAATAAATAAAGTTGTGGGTGGGGTCCTGGCTGGGTGACTAGTTGGTTGGAGCATCATCCTGTACACCGAAAGGTTGTGGGTTTGATCCTTAGTTCAGGCCCATATAGGAGGCAACAGATCAATATTTCTCTCTCTCCAGAATCAATAAAAACATATCCTCGGGTGAGGATTAAAAAACAAAGTGATGGGTAGGAGTGAGGAATATATTTCAAGGGAGGAAAATCTAAAGGCCAGGAATCCCAAGAGACTGAATCCAAAGAGATGTGAAGTCAAAACCCAATATTTTAATCCCTTTGACCTCTCTCCAAAAGTTTGACTCTTCATAACAGGCCCATAATAGCCTGGTACTTTATCAAAGTTAGCGCTCTTTCTGGAGGATGGGGTACCCTCATCCTTAAGAATGTTACCCAAAGTCAACTCTGCAGCAAAAGCTACTGGTGCAAATTTCTTAAAAACTACTAATATTTTATTTTTGCTTTTTTTAAAAATATATTTTATTGATTTTACACAGAGAGGAATTGAGAGGGACAGAGAGTTAGAAACGTCGATGAGAGAGAAACACCCACCAGCTGCCTTTTGCACACCTCCCACTGGGGATGTGCCTGCAACCAAGGTACATGCCCTTGACCGGAATCGAACCCAGGATCTTTCAGTCCACAGGCCGACGCTCTATCCACTGAGCCAAACCAGTCCCGGCTATTTTTGCTTTTTGAAGCATATAGGGAATCATGTAATGGTGAGAGCTATCATTTTTTGAGCTGACCATGAGCCAGGCATATTAGTGCAGAAAACCTAAAGGAACAGTGTGTTAACAAGTGAGAATTTTATTTTCCCCCATGTAATCAGGCCAGGGTTAGTAAGGCAATTCCATATCAAGTAAAGACTTGCTCTCTACTGTTAAGGAAACTTAGAAATTAAACACATCACTTGTGTTTCCATCCCATTGATCAGAATTAGTCACAAAGTCACACCAAGCTGCAAGGGGGGCTGGGAATGTAGTCTTTATTCTGGACTTTGAAAGAGTTAGCATCTACTCAGAAGCCCTGTCATATGGTATAAAACTCAGTGCATGTAGAAAGACTCAAGAAGAAATTTTATTTTCAATTTTGCAACAATTCCCCTACAGAACAAAGTTGGATTCAAGAACAGCTTGGTTTTTAAATAAGTGCTGAAACATTAAAGGAAAATAAGAGGAGCCATTATCTAGGCAAAGTTTGATAACATCAATTTTTAAAAGGTAAGATACAAAGCTTTATATTGATTATTTAGAATCATGTTTAAAAATACATAAGCAGACCTAGCTGGTTTGGCTCGGTGGATAGAGTTTGGGCCCATGGACAGAAGGGTCCTGGGTTCCATTCTGGTCAAGGGCACTGACCTGGGTTGTAGGCTCTATTCCGGGCCCCGGTCATCGACGGTGTGTGCGGGAGGCAACCAATCAATGTGTCTCTCTCACATTAATGTTTCTCTCTGTCTCTCCCCCTCCCTTCCACTCTCTCTAAAAAAGAAAAAGAAAAAGTAAAAAAAAGAAGAAAATGAAAAAATAACCTGAGGTGAGGATTAACCAAAAAGTAAAATAAAATATATAAGCAAGTAATAATTGTAGTTAATGACATTAACATAAAATTAAATGCTACAACTCAACTTTCAATTATGAGATAATTAAAATTATGCTGTCAGCTAAAAGTTTTTAAATATTTATAATGTATCTTTTCATAGCAACACTAACAAAATAAACAGATAATTAAAAACATAACCTACACAATACGTTTTACTTGAAATGTACATATCCAAAAATCCAAAGTTAAGATGTATAATTGTGAGACCTACATGATTTCATTGTGAAAACGTTACGGGTAGAATGAGGGACAATAAAGACAATGAGATGGGAAAGATGCTGGCTTGGATGTCCAGAGGCAGTTTTATCATTAGAGTATATTACCTACCTGTCTGGGCCTCAGTTTCTAAACCTTTATGAACTGAGAAGTTGGAGTTTATGGGTATCAAGCTCTATTATGAGGCAGAGCTTGTATAAGGAATTTTCTAAGGGAACTTGTCCAGGAAAAGTTAGTCAAATGAAGTGAGATAGTTTGAAACCAGGAAATCTGATTCACCTTAGAATAAAAATTGTCCTAAAAATATACTCCAATATTGTTTGTTCACGTGTGTTTGTGTTTGTTTGTTTTTTTTTTGTGTGTGTGTGTGTGTGTGTGTGTGTGTGTTTTGTGTGTGTGTGTGTGTGTGTGTGTGTGTGTGCTTGCAGAAGACTGGGATTTCCCAAGTTTCCGAGGTCCTCAGAGCAGCAACAAGCCTAAGTCACAGTGAGGGCTGGTGCCTGGCCCAGGGAATCACTGCCTTCATTTCTGCAGCCTCCCTGCAGATATGTGTGATCATAGCAATGTATGTGACCATGAACCCTCTTCTTTCCAGAAGTATCTTCAGGGATTACTTTTCAGGAGAATATGCTCTGGTATTATTGACATAGGCTAACTACAAATATTACATAGATGAATGCATTTTCTGACCAATCAAGCCAGAATGCACTCGTCTTTTAGGCATGTCTCCCATAAAACATTTACTCTGGTTCCTCTCAATAAATAGTAACCTATGAAGTCATTTGTGTACTTAATCAGACCATGGCCCTGTATTTAGAAAAGATTTTAAATAAAAGAAAAAATATGTTGGCCAAGGAAGGACAATGTCTATTAAACCCCTTGTCTATTGTAAGACTACAGAATTTGGGAATTCATGATTTCTGAGTACATGAAATAAAATATTCATGTTAATCAACATTTTAGAAATAACTGTGTTGTCAAGTTAATAAAAATAAATAAATCTGAACTTCAGTAAGTCTCAGTTATGTGCCCAAATACTTGTGGTGCTTAAAAAAAAAATACAGCTTCCTTCCAGCCATTCTGATTTAATAGGTCTGGAGGTGGCTCAGACATCTGTAGTTTTTAACGTTCTATATATGATTGCGACAGGCAGCCAAGATTGAACTACTGTGCTTTATAAATCAAGAAGCTGTGACCCTTCCAGATGCTTGGGTGAATGGCATGGCGAAGTAACACTGTCACAGGTATGGAACTCGGCAGCTAGGTCATATTGGACGGATCACTTAAACCTCTTTGAGCCTTCACAAGTTATTCACAAAGAGGACAGTGTTTACTATCACATATCCATAAAACACATGGGACATTATAAGGAGTTACAAAACTTTTAACATAGCATTTAATGCTTTCTTCCTCTCCATGGTGTGTCTTCTCCCTTCTTTGTACATAAGAAAAAATCTACTGTTCCTCCAATGGAGTACCAAGTTTAAATCTCTGAGGCCTGCCTGCCCCAGCTCCACCACATTCCCCCACCTGGCAAGCCCCTCCCCGCTGCTGGTACACTGCAAGCTCCTACAGAATCAGGGCAACCTTGTATTTGTAGATCAAGGTGAGCCAAAATACTACCACTTTACCCTTGAAGACAGACAGAAATTGCCCTTACAAATCCCAGTTACCTGTTTGTTCTTTTTCAAAGGCTGCATCTTTTCTCTTCCGTGTATTTTAGTTGTGGAACTCACACAAGAGAACAAGGGAGGGCTGCTGAGGTCTACCCCAATAATCACTGCACAAGTGACAATTTATTAGCTCTTATATGTGCAGGCACCTGGCAGCCCTCGGAGAGAGACGATTTCATTCTCTCAACCATCTACAACACAAACAGTATTATTATTCCCGCTGTACAGCTATTAGGGTAAGAAGGCTTGAGCAATTAGCTCAGGCAGGTCATGGGTCTGCGGGTGGAGCCAGGACTCCAATGCAGATCTCCCTCCAGAGCCCGAAATCCAACCGCCGTGCGCACCCGCTTCATTTTAAGATGCTCCAACAGCCGCCTCCCGGGGTGTGCCCCGAACACGCAACTTCCAGCACCTCGGTCCTCCCACTTGACAGCGAACATAGGAAAGCTGCAACTGCGATGGACCTGAGGGTGCAAGCCCCGTCCCGAGAACCACTTCCTCTAAGCGATTCGGGCACCAAGGAGAATCCCAAAGGGCCTCTGAAGCGCCCGCGAGGAGTCCGCAGCCAGGCCCAGCCCCGCAGCCAGGCCCAGCCCGTCCCCGAGCGCGCTCGCAGCGGCCAGAGAACACCCCGACCTCGGCCCGCCGCCCGCTACGGGCCCTTCCGGGGCCGCAGCCGCACGAGCGCCTCGCGTTTCCTGAAAATCCCTCCCGGCCTCTGGCCTCTCGTCCTGCGGTGTCGCGCGGGTCCCGTTCCACAGGTCCGCAGGCACAGTCCTTTACTTCCGGGTTCCGCCTCCGGAAGTGACACACCGGAAGCCCCTTTCCCGTACGGGGCGGGGAAGGAAGATGGCGGCGCCCAGCAGCCGGTGAGGAGAGAGGACACGGGGCCCTCGGAGAGCGGCCGGACTCGTGCGCGATGGCCACCTCCCCCCACACTCTCTCCTCACGCCTCCTGGCAGGTACCGCACCGCCCTCGGGGGCAAAGTTGGGGAAATTCCCTTGTTTAGGGCTCGTCCGGCGCCCGGTGGTGGCTGGCTGCAACCTTGGGAGCCCTTGGCGAGGTCGGCGGAGCGCCGGTGGGGGTGTGACCTTCGGGGTAGCCTGAGGTGGAGGGGACGCGGGGCTGGGGGGTCTGAGCTGGCTCTGCGGTGCTGGTGCCACCCCGTGCCCCGTCCCCTCTCGTCCCGCCCCGAGGGCCGCCAGCTTTGCTCCTGCTGGTTTGCACCTCGTGGAGGACATAGCGGAACCTTCGCGCTCCCGAGCCTCCTGGCTCCCGAGCCTCGGTTCCTAGCCGCCGGCAGTCAGGACTAGGGAGCTGTGCCCCCGCCCCGCAGCCTTCTTGCCATGTGGAGGGTCCTGGTGCTGCCACGATTACGGAAACGGTGATGACTGCTACGGGCAGCGGGCCGCAGCTTGACTCTTAGCTTTGAGCCGTTCAGCGTGGTCCCTGCTGCCATCCTCCCGCTTGAAAAACCTGTAACAACTTTAAGTTGAAGGTGGAATGCGCTTTCTTGGCCCCTTGGCGAGGTCTCAGCTCAGATGTCACCTTTGCTGAGGCGCCTACCCCATCTCCAGCAGAGCCCCGCCCCTCTTCCCTCTTTATCCTGTTTCTCCCAGGATGGCTAGCTCAGGCTGCAAGTGTTGACTTGAGTACCAGTTTATCACATGTTCCTGCCAACTGGAATATGAACACTGTGGAGGCAGGACAGTTCTCTGGTTCCCCTCTTTGACCCCAGTATCCCGGGACAGTCCCTGGTGTGCATTGTTGGCTCTCAGTAATTACTTGTGAATGAATGAAGTTTGCCCCGGTGGCGGTATTGGGGAGGAGCTGAGAATTATTTTCCCCTCGGTAGTTTAGGGCATAACGAATAGCTATGAGAAGGACTCGTTACCGCTGGTCCATATGGGGGATGACAGAATCCCAGGATTCCCTTTTTTTCTCAAATCCCAGCACCTGGCAATATCGATCTCTGAAAGTCTGACATTCCTTTTTCCTCGTGGCATTGTTATTTTATGGGTCTTTTCTGGTCTGTGTGATCTCAGAGAAAACCATTTGACTTTTCTGGAATTGAAGTTACTCATCTATAAAATAAAGCAATTTAATTAGATAGTTTCAAAGGTCCCTGTTAGCCCAACAGTGGGGAAGAGGGTGGGAAGTAGGAGGGAGTATAAATGAAACAAGACTGGCCTTGGTTTGGTAATTGTTGACTGTAATGCGGCTCATTGTATTCTGCTTTTGGATGTGACTGAAGTTTCCCATAATGAAAAGTGTTTTGTTTTTTAAAGCTTGTGGTTCTTTTTGAATTACTTGCTACCTTGTACCATCCTTGACTGAGTTTTCTTTGACCCTGACTATAGACACTCATTCTCAGAGAACTCAGCCTTTCTTGTTGCTTGAATTATATCACCTCTGTATAGAGAGTCCAATTTGGATCCCTCAGACTAGCTGGTTTTCTGCCTGTCAGTTCTGTACTTCCAGTTTTCTATAGGCAGCTCAGAATTCCCCAGGTCTAGGAAGTGGGCTTCATATACATGTGGTATATGAAGCCCACTTCCTAGACCTGGCTTGTGGCTGGATCAGTCTTTTAGCATGGGTAAGGAGGAATTAATAGACAGCCTCTTGAGCTGTGAATATAATGGCCAAAAAGATCTGTGTGGCCTACTCTGATCCACATGAATATCCACCAGGAGAGCTCAATATGGAAACAGCATGGTGAAGGGGTACAGACAGGTCATCTAGGACCATATTAAGTATCTACTGGCCGTGTCTGATTTACTATTAAAAATTGAAGTATTTTATATCATTAAAAAGAAAATTCATGACCTTCAGTTACCTGTCTACTCACCTAATTTAAAACTCCTACAATCATGACTCATTGTGGATGATGAATAGTGGATGTGGCCACATATTTCCAGATTTTTAATGTATCTATTATAATGGATCTATTGTATCCTGTGTAGCTTTTAACCAAAGTTTGTTTACAAAGGGCTGAAATGTCTTTGACATTCTAGGCACCACTTCATACAAATGTAACATGTTTGGACTAAATAAAGTATTTTCAACATTTAAAAGTGCAGTGTCCTAGGTGTGGGTTTTTGTTTTGTTTTGTTTTTTTTCCTTACTGCCATTCTGTACAATCTCACTTTCATCTGCCTGTTCATGAGAGAGAGTTTTCCAGGTGATTCTTTTCCTCCCAGCAACATGCATTTCTCTTTGGACGTAAGGAACTAAAAACTGATTTTGAAATGTAAGGCCCATACAATAAAACCTTAATGTGTTCTAGACATTAACCTGTTAACCGAGCGGGACCTATAAATACGTCAAACATAAACACTATCGGGAACGGGTAGGACATATGAATACGTCCTTGAAATATATGTTGCGCCCTGAGAGGGACGGTATATATATTTTATTGATTTTCTTACAGAGAGGAAGGAAGAGAGATAGAGAGCTAGAAACATCGATGAGAGAAACATCGACCAGCTGCCTCCTGCACACCCCCCACCAGGGATGTGCCCACAACCAATGTACATGTTCTTGGCGGGAATTGAACCTGGGACCTTTCAGTCCGCAATCGCTGAGCCAAACCAGCTTCGGCTGTAATCTTTATAATTGTTTGTAAAATTTATAATTTTTTAATTCGATGTTTCCATTTTTTTGTTGGTATTCTTTTCTATTTGTTTGTAATTTTGTATTTTACTTTGTGCTTTATGTATAAATAAACGAAAAAATATATATTTCATTTATTTTAATTAAGTATAAATAAAAAATAATATAAAATTACGTCTGCTGGGTGTGACGTACTGACACGTCCTAGTGAAAGAGTTTGCGTCCATTGCACATTGCGTAATTAAAAAGGGAACTCCCCGGTTAACAGGTTAATATTGAGGTCCTGTTACCTTAAAGAACAATGTTAAGGCCAAGAAGGAAAATATGCACCATTAAATTATAAATAAAACTGAAATATTAAAGGATTGGCTTTAAGAAATCTCCCCCCCCCCAAAAAAAAAACACAAAAAACACACTGCTATCTACACACACACACACACACACACACACACACGTAAACACACATTCACCTATGTGGAAAATAAGCATTTTATAATTAACAGGCTTGAGAACCTGTTTTTAGTGAAGAAGTGACTTATCTCCTAAGATAATTGCCTTGCCTTCCAAAGGGCAGTGAAAGTTCTTCCCCCAGTCCCTGTAAGCAGTGGGGCTGATACAGTCATCAAGTATTGTTTCGTTGTTATATGGAAAGCACTCTGCTGTGTTATAGCAAAAGTAAATCTCAAGGAACTAAAGAACACAGTGGAAACAATTTGTATTAGAAAGTGCTGTAAAAAAGTATAAAGTAATAGAATAGTTGGAAGAGACTGAAAATTCGACAGGTGAAGCAAGACGCTGTAAGCAGGCGAAGGGCAAAGAGGTGAACCAGTGTGGAGTGCGATGATGAGACAGTTGCTGCAGTGAGGTATATTTACATGTGTGGGTTGGTCATATATGTTGTGCTTCAGGAAGAAAACCATTTGCTCTGTGGAACTTAAGTTGGACGGGGCAGGACATTACTGAAGTAGAGATGACTGTCCTGAATCCTGCAACGATTACAGTAGTCCAAATGTAAGATAATAAGGGAATGGGATGGAAAATAGGAATGGGAAGAAGTAGACAGATTTGGCATATCTTCCATAGTTGACTGGACTTGATGGTTATTAAATGATGAAGGAAGAATTCAAGCTGTACCTGAGGAAATGGTTTTCTCTTCAGTAGGGATAGAGTAGAGATGTGGGTGAGGATAAAGTGTACTTAGAGCATATTGCAACCCACCATGATACTAAGAGAGCAGTTGGAAATAGGCTTAATGACTCTAGAAATGTGTTGAAGATTTAAATTTTGCCTGTAATTGCAATTGCTCAGGGATTAATGTGGCAGGCACAGCAAGAGGAGACACGAAAGGAAACAGAAGTGATGAGCAGAGCAGAGAAAGCAGGAATCTTTGGTGTCATGGAAGCCATGGGAGCAGGGACTCAGAAAGGGAGTCTGGGCCATTATACTGTGGAAGGTTTGCCTAAGAGAGACCTTGTACAGGAGCGTTGGATTTGTTGCTTTTGAAAGAAGGTTTAAAAAAATGATTAAAAGCCAAAGGCCTATACTACAGAAATAGTTTCTTCCCAACAAGATTGATAAGCTCATACTTTATTGAGAACTGTTTCCTCACCCCTTTAACTTGGCTTACCTGACATGGCCAAAATAGTAACCTGAAGTGTATCTTCCAGTTTGCAGTTATTTATTGAGAAAAATTATGCTTCTCATTTTATACTTTTAAGAAGTGATTGAACTGATTGCTTTATAAGTTTCTTCTTCAAAATATCTATAGTGTGGTCATTTTGGCATTTAATATAACAAAAGCAAAATGATCCTGAACTGGAAGATTTCCCTAGCCTGTGAAGAATTTTGCAGATTTATCATTAAGGCTCTTAAGTTGTGTTTATTTACAAATCTGGACTAGATCATTTCAGACTTATAACCCATCTCATGTGCATTGCTTATCATGGTTCAGGTAGGTGCATTACCTCCTCGCTGGTGAGGGGCATTATCCACTGTAACACTTTTCTCCCTCCGCTCTGTTCCAGGAGGGGCAGGAGGGTGTGTCTGGTATCTGGAGAGAAGAGCTGTGCAGGGATCCCCGCACAGGTTTATGCATCTCTTCAGGAACGCCGGCAAGCAGTGGGTTACATTTCAGCACTTCGCCTTCCTCAAGCGCATGGTACGTTCAGAAGGCCATCCTTCTCTGCTGCTTCTGCCTTTCCTTTTTTGTCTCCGGGAATTTCAGAAATTCATGTTACAAGAGGAGTAGTAAGAAGTACTGTTTAAAAAGGACTTTTAGTGTCCTCAGTTTATCCAGAACTTAAATCCCTTGCTTTGATTATTCTTAACTGAAACCAGGGTAATTTTGGTGTTTGAGCTTTAAAGTATGATTTTGAACTTCTGATTAAGTTTGGAGAAAGATTGAAAATATCTTGCATTGTTTTACTAGGTTAAAATTATAGAAATTATAAATTCTTTAAAATTCTGTGAATACAACAGTAATACAGAAATAATTGCCCTGACAGTGGCCCTCCTGTTTTTTTACATTAGCAGTTCATTCAAAAAGCCTTTTAAACACATGTATGTCTGAATTGAACAAATTGAGTTTTTAGTAGTTTGCTCAGCATTCTGTAGTGGCATTGATAATATATCTCAGTCCTCTTGTAGGCCTGTGTCAAGGTTGGGTTCATGATATTAGGGGCAACATAGTAATTAGCTCTAAATTACCAATAAGGGCATTTGACATTTTCTCAAATAGACAGTTTCATAGAATGGAGAAATCTTAGCTAAAAAACTTTTGGTATGCAAGCATGAAATAATATTGTATGTTATGTAAACTGCAACAATATGCACTCTATGAAGTGCCTCACGAATGCTCATAGTAATAACTTTTTGCAAGTAAGTGATGGAGAGTGCCTAGCTCTAAAGCCCATGTCCTGTCCTCATACACACTGATGTAGTCACGTAGGCCTGGGATATGCACGTCCGCTGAGCCCCACTGTGCTGTTGGCACTCAACAGGTCTCTGGGCTCTTGATTATAGAAAATGTTTTCATTGTACTTGAATGTTAAACCACCAGCTTTTGGTACTACATTAGGGGACATTCTGGAAAAATGAACAAGAAATAAAAAGGTCATCTTTCAAGGAACTTAAATTCCTAGGAATTTCTAGAAATTTGAAAACTATAGCAGAGGAATTAATTGTGTTCTTATATCTTAGTCTAGTGACTTCCATGTAACAAGCACTTTAATATTAGTGCATGTGTCTGTGTTTTATAAAGTGAGAGGAAAATCTTTTACGTACCATAAAAGTCGGACCGATAGAAGGTATAACTAAACATCCATTTCAGAGCATTTTGGCTTGGTTTAGTGACATGTTCTTTTTAAATTTAGTACGTCACACAGCTGAACAGAAGCCTCCGCCAACAGATAAAGCCGAAGTCAGAACCAATGACCTCCTCTTTCCTTGAGAAATCATCTTCGAGTCAAGCCAAAGCGGAAGTATATGAGATGAAGCCTTTTGCACCCTCCTCCCTATCTTTGCCTAGAAAGCCTAATGAAACCAAATTGATAGAACTAGAACCTGCCTCAATAATTGAAGGCTCAGTGGATGTGGGAAAAGAGACAAAAGATGAAAAGCAGTGGAAAGAGATGAAGCTGCGTGTAGACGATTTGCCAGGAATTTTGGCTCGACTGTCCAAAATCAAACTCACAGGTACTTTGTCTTCCTTGAAACTTTAATTTTAGTTAAACAGAATGCTGATTTTATTTACTGCCCCAAAAGGAATATTTTGGAACTGCAGATTCACTCAATATTTTTTCTCTCTGATTGAGATCTGAAGTCAAATTTTCTGAATTCTGTTTATTCAGAATTATAAATAGTATTATATTGAACATGTACTAGAATATCCTCATTTATTTACAATTAAAGTGGAATACTTCCCTGCTTATTTTTGAATTTTGGGTTTTTTTTGCACCTGTTGTCCTTTAAAGCTGCAGTGAGATAATGAGTCTGTCTGTCTGAGTTCACAGCAGGATGGGCGGCACTGCTGTGCGTGGTGTGCAGTGGAACCACAGTGGCCACTGGGACTCCCACTCACTGATGTTTGCCTCTTGTAGGACCTCTGGGACTGTCCCAGGTATGAAGGGGTTTTGAGTGCTTTTCTGAAAGGCGGTTTAGAACCAGACTTTTTGCCTAATTGTAGCAAACTGCACCAAAATAATTGCATGCATTTAGGTGTTAACCCTAATGTCATTTGGTTACTACAACCACCCTACAAGTCAGGTGAAACTTTGTTATTATCATCCCATCTCATAGCTAAACTTAGAAGTAGCTTATTCTGGGCTCATGCTGTTCAGACTATATGTCCTGGGGCATCCTGCAGACAGACCTGGTCTCTCCATTTCTTCTGGATGAGAAAGAAAAGAAATGGGTAAACCATAAGGTTGTATTTGGTAGTCTGAGGACAGAAAGTGGTAAATGATATTGTTGAGTCAAAATCGGCAAGTGAGCCGATGAGGCAGAGAGGCTTTGGGAGTGGAGAATAAAGACGGACAGAGGAGTGGTTTCTGTTTGTTTGTTTGCTGTTTGTCTTTCAAGAGAGTTGAGCCTGAAATCCAGGGGGAAAGAAGACAAACCAGACACATCTTGTTCCTCATGACCAAGTTCACTTAAAGAACCTTTCTCGGAGGATGACACTTGGACATGGGGAATTGACAGAGAATCATAGTAAAGCTTACAGTTTGCGGCTCTGCGGGGGGGGGGGGGGGGGCGGGGGGACGGAGTTCAGTGGTGTCTTTGAAGTTCTCTCAGTGCTTTCCAGTGGCTGAGCAAGGCGTCTCCACGTTGCTAGAGCATTACCTTGTCATTTACTCTGCTGGTTTGAGTGTCATGTAGACATGTGAAGAAGGACTAGATAAGGCATGATTCTAGGATGTCACCCAGAAAACAAGGCCTCTCCGTCTGGGCGCCAGAAGTGAGCTCTGCCATGAGCAGGAGCTTCTCGGTGTACACCAGTCTGCAGATTCAGGCTCTCATGTCCCATTTCTTTCAGCAAAGCCAATATTCTTCGCCTCTCCTGGACTCCCGTGGGGGCGGGCCTGACCATGCCGCATTTCTGCTGCCCCAACGGGGCTGAGGACTGGGTGCCGCCATCTTGTGGCTGTGGGCATCGCCATCTTTGAGGGAGTAGCAGTCAATTAGCATATCCCCTCCTTATTGGCTGTGGGTGCCACCATCTTTGTAAGGGCATGATGATCAATTAGCATATTCCCTCCTTAGTAGATAGTATTTCCTCCAATGGCATGTGGGAATCTGACTCCTTCTGTACTCCTTGCTTGTGAATTATCTGTTTTTACCAGTGTTGTCTATTTGAAAACTGAAAATATTTTTGTGTGTTTGTTTTTATTTTCTAAGTTTTGGTGGGATTTAGCATCTTTTTCTCTATTGATCATTTCTATGTTTCCTTCTTTTATTTACCTCATACCCTTGGTCATTTCTTAATGATGTTTTTAGAGCTCTCTTTAGCATTTTATCCATCAAATGCATTAATTTTTTTAACATTTTCTTTTCCTTTATTTTACTTGTGATATTTCACTGTTTTATTTTGCCCTGCTGAGATTTTTCAAATTTGTTAGTTCTTTTTTTTGTTGTTTTTTTTATGCTTAGAAATATTTTTATTGCTCTATGGTTATAAAAGCATTCACTGTGGGTGGTTCTTTTTTTTAATGCTTTAATATTTTTTTTATATTCTCTGAGGTGTGGGGACCATGTGGAATGTCTTTTAGTATAAGAAGTGGGATGGATTAAGAAGTCTGCAGTGGCAGTAATATTGAGAAAGGATTGCCTGTTTTTGTGAAGGAAGTTTTATTGGAACAAGGCCATGCCAATTTGTTCTATCCTGTTATCATGCTATGTTGGCGGAATTGAGTAATTATAGGAAAATTTATGGCTTGGAAAGCCTGAGTATTTTCCCTCTGGCTCTTTATAGAAAAAGTTTTCTGGCCCTAGCTAAAGAGCATTGACTGTTGAGACTCAAGAATGATGGTAAATAAATCATTGTTGGCCAATTGAGAAATGACTTGGGCTGACCTAAGGCTGTGGTGGGGAAGGAGGAAGGGGGAGAGAAAGATAGAGAAACATATGAAGGAAATAGAATTAACGGAACAGCAGATGTGGTAGAGTGCTGAGGAGGTTTAGGACCTGGAGTTGCAAAGGCCTTGACCACCATTTGGTGAAGCAAGCATTCTCCAGATCTTTGAGCCCTGTGCTCCTTACTGTTCTATACTCTACCCCAGTGGTCGGCAAACTCATTAGTCAACAGAGCCAAATATCAACATTACAACAATTGAAATTTCTTTTGAGAGCCGAAAACTGATTTCTGTGCATGGGCCACGAAGTTTCAATTGCCTGTACGTGCGCACCCATACGTGGTATTTTGTGGAAGAGCCACATGCAAGGGGCCAAAGAGCCACATGTGGCTCGCGAGCCGCAGTTTGCTGACCATTGCTCTACTCAGTTCTCTGGCAGAGAGTACTGTGTACTGCCTCTGGGCCACAGTTCCTGCATTCAAGTCCTCACTCTTACTAACTGAGAGGCCTTGAACTGTTCCATAATCTCTCTATGCCTCAGTTTACCCATTTATAAAGTAGGGATAATAATAATACCTATTTCAGAGGGTTGTTCTGAGTATTAAATAAGTTAACCTTTGCAAACTACATAGAAATGACTGTGTTAAGAACTATGTCCTTGTTTCTTACGTTAAAAATGCCTGGGTGCCCTCACAGGCATTTGAGTTAGCTGCCCCTACTCTAGAAAAACTCCCAGCCTTCTGATATGACACAGTGGATGACTGGTGGTATTGAGCCTTAAGATTGTGAACTCTGAAGAAAGAAACTATTTGGGGATGATGGTGAGCGGAGTTTTGGACACATGGAATTTGCGTTGTCGCCGGCATATCCAGTGAAGAGGGCCAGTGGGCAGGGGCAGTTGGCTGTGAAGGACAGGAGCTCAGGAGAACCCTGGGCCAGAAGAAGGAGAGGTCTTAAGCATGGAGTCGGCTGCAAGCCATGGGGGTGATAAGGTTGCCCAGGGTCAGTGTGTAGAGGGAGCAAAGCAGAAGGCCAGGGACAGGGCCATGGGGTGCGTTCCTTTTAAAACTTAGGTAGAGTGTATTAGGAGACTGGGAGGGAATAACTAACCAGAGGAAGGAAAACGGAAGTGACTTGTCACAGACACTAGAAGGAGAAAAGGCTTCACAAAGGAAGTGATCCACACTTCTAGATGCTGGAGTCTGAGATGCCTGCTAGGAAGAGCTTTTTGAATGACTGTCAAATGAAGAAATAATTCTCCATGTTTCCTCTTTTTCGAGTCTAAAATCTATAGCATTGACTGCATTATTTCTTTAATAGTACATACTATGTATGCTGTGTGGTGCCCATTGGCTTACTGTTTCCCATATGTGAGTATGCATGCAAAGGAGCCTGCACAGCACGTGGGCTCAGATGGTGCTCCTGGCCACTGTCCCCAGGGATTCAGATCCTGTAGGCCAGGACAGGACCCAGAGATCTGCATTTTTGACAAGCTTGCGGGAAGACCTGATGCTAGGTGGTCCTGGACCACCCCTTGAGAAAGTGAAGTAAGCGTTGTGCGGGCAGAGTGCCGGCCCCAGGCCCACTGGTCTGGCTGGATGCAGACAACTCGCCCAGTGGGAGCCAGAGCAGTCCTCCCCACTGGGCAGCAGGAAAAGCAGCCGGGCAGGACCTGGACCACACAAAAGCAGGATGCACTGGAGAGAGGGCGCAGTGACTGCCCCTGTGCTACAGACACAAAGTCCCAGGCAGTAAATTCCTCCAGCACCATTTCATATATTCCATGCCCCAGGTTTCTAGATGAGCTAATTGAATTAAAGTCGTTTCCTTCTGCTCGTTCCATTTAAAGAGGCAGCACCCTTCGCATGACCTCTACCCTTTTATTTGACCTTTTCCCTCCCTATTTAGCTTATTACTTGAATTTACACATCTTGGAGTCAGCGGGATTATTTTCTTTATTATTTGATTTCTTTTGTATTCTTAAGGGCAATTCATTTATTGCTAATGATAGCCGAGGCAGAAATATCTGGGACTTAGTGATGGTCTCTTTTATAGAACTAGTCTTTCTTTCTTGGCCTCTTTTTGTTTGTTGCTATGAAACACTGAGGAAACTTAACTAGAAAAGGTGGAGGGCCATATAGTGGCCATTTGCAGGACAGTCGGGTAGCAGTAGCCTGCTGCCTTGGCATTGATGCCAGGATCTGGGCCAGATGTGTGCTGGTGCTAATGTCATTTAAAGATTTTTCTTCTCTGAAAGGAAGTACGATTGAGTTTATAAAGAAATAATATGTCCCCCTTGAGTTTCTCTTGCCAACTGAGCTATTTACAATGTGTTTTTGGACTTTGTTGCAAGGACCACACTGGGGTAAAGAAATGTTGGCTGAGGATCATAAGAGGCTTCGGTGACCAAACAGAATTTATACTTAATATACGGTAGGTCAGTAAAAAGCAGAAAGTTTTTCCTAACTAACATCTGTGCAGAAAAGCTACAACACATTTTCTGAGACCAGAACAACAAAATAGATTGCTTACTGGAACCAATAGGTTATGTGGTTGATGGAACTGATGTCAAGTCTATCAGTGTATAGATTTTTCCCCCAGGGCCCAGAGTGTTGCTTTTTATTA